GCGAGAGGAACTGACAAACCTGTCAGCAGCCTATTCGGCCAAATGCATCGAAAATGCCCAACTCGACGAGCGACTATCCGCCTTGATGGAGGAACGGGAACGAGACGGTGAAAGGTGAGCGCGTGATTTTCCAAATTTGTGATTCCAGGGGTGAAAACAGGAGTAATATGATATTTAAAAAATCATTGAACGATGCCATATCTTCTCAGGGGAATCAAAGTGTATTGTGCACTATTTTCTTCTTGATACGGGTCTTTGACCAGTTGTTGTACCTGAAGGATTGCTTAGGCCGCGCTCAATCGTCGGTGAGCTGCTACAGCATAAGTCAGCCGTCTAGGGCTGCGTTCACACTTTGCGGCAGCGTCCACCAGCAACCAGTAGCGTCCACAGCGTTCCGGCGGCGTCGGCGACTAAGAAAGTATAGGTATCGACCTAGCGTCTGCCAGCGTCTGCTAACGTCCACCATGAACATCAACGTCTCGAGGGCTACGGAAGTGTAGGTAACGATCTAGCTTCTGCCATCGTCTACCAGCAGAACAGCAGCATCCCGGAGTGGAGAGTGTGGAGCTATAGGAGGGTAGCGGACAGCTGGCAGAATATGAGGAGATAGGAGGGTGGCAGAGTGCTCTAGATAGTGTGGCACGATAGGAGGATATTAGACAACTGGTACCCTCCTACCACCTCATCCACTCTCTACCAGCAGTCTGCTGCTGGTCGCTCGTCGACGCTGGTAGAAGCTGGCAGGACATTAGATCGACACCTATGGTTCCCTAGCCCTCGAGACGCTGCTGGTCGCTGGTGGACGCTGCTGCAAAGTATGAACGCAGCTCCAACCACATAGCGGTCGTGCGCCCTCAAGGGTGGCACTGCTATAGGGGTTAGCGAAAAATTATCGACCTGAAAAAGATCTGACTAGTTTTTGACACCTTGTATTAATTTTCCTCGACCACAACTGGAAGGATGTTGCTCCAACGCATGACATTTAAGAGCAGAGTCTTCACAATACTGATAAATCGATCAATTCAACGATCAATAAATCTTAAAGCTCTGTCAAGAGTCGTATCATCATTATGTTCGCATTCAGGGCGATGTAAGAAACTATGTACCTATTGCTTCCCCTTACCGCAATCTATACGGTAAAAGTTACGGTGTCTTCCCAACTGAGTAACGTCGCCTAACATTACCGTAATCCCGCTACCGTAGCCTTGTCGGTGTTACAGTGTGTTATTAGTGAAACGAGGCTCTAATTTCTGTAGTAAGAGTGTGTTGTGCTTGAGCATACCTTCTGGCTACTACGCTATGCTTATGTTGGCTGTGATGCGCGCAACCCTGCGTTTATTGATTGGTGAATTGTAAAACAATGCACAGGCGTTACTGTAGCAAACTTATCGATTTCAGTGAGGATATACAACGACTGCAACGCGATTTGATGGCCCGTGACTCGCAAGTGGCCGAGCTCCAGCGACGAATCTCAGCCTACGAGCGACGTATCAGTGGCGAATCGCCCATTGTCGCAAGCGGTACGTTCATAGTGTGATTTTCGATAGGGTTTGACTTCAATCCAATCAATAAATGTTACTGTTAATACTTCAGGACGTAGGCGGTCATCATCGAGGTAAGTGTGTGGCCTGGCTGTGCTGTGCATGCGTCAACCCTAGATTGCATAGTTTTTCGCCTACCCAATGCAACATACTGCTAATAATACGTATCGATTAGTGCGCACATCTGTCTCAGCGCGTTCATACTTCGCAGTCCGATCGCCTCCATGGCGCGATTGGATCGCTCGGGCAACTGGACCGCGCGCCAGTCGGTGGAGCGCCGTAACAGCAGACTTCAAATTGGACCGCATTCGTACAGTGTATCAACGTAGTCCAATATGAATTCTGCCGTTGCGGCGGTCCACCTATTGGCGAGCGAGCGCCCCCGCTCGTGCTCGAGCGATCCGATCGCGCGATTGAAGCGACCGGATTGCGAATTATGAACGCGCTCTGCCTGTACTATTGATCTGTATTTTGACAGTGCGGTTGCGTTGTGTATGTGAGGGAGCGTAACACACAATTTAGACATAGTTTAGCTAGTTCATAGCCGGTCGCGGCGATATAACGTGACTTAGTCAATAACCTAATCAATATCCATGTTTATTGTGTGTGAAATCGGGACGCAGCGATCGGCTTTGTGTGCATAGCAGTGTCTAGATTTCCTATCCTTCGGTTCTTGCAGATCTGTCGCTCTTAGTTAGCGATTTTAGGGCTCGGTTCAACTGCCTGCCACCTCTATTTTCCGGTATTAGACTCTTTAGTCGCCTTTCTCATTCTAAGTTCGCCATCTGCCCTATGTTAACCTGCAATATTTAGCCTTTTCGGCTGATGTGATAAATTTTAGACAAGGACGAGTTACCCTCGGAGGTACCGTGCTCCGAGAAAACCAACTCAGCAGTCAAGTATAGGAAGATGAACAAGAGCCGACGTACTGGTAAGCAACATCAGCTGAGGAATAACTATAGTTGGTTCAGTGGCGAATTTATGTGCATTTGCAGACATTCGCTTCCACAGTAATCCTGTGATTCCGGTGCTTGAAGGAGTACCCGAATATTTGGCAGAAGATCTACGTCGCTCGTTAGCAGTACCCGTTAGTGAACGTCGCAAGTTTTTCGAGACAATCGCCGAATACAGTACCCCGTTTTGATTACAGTATCCTATTTATGATATCTGTCTGGCCATTTCTCTTTCAAAACAAATCCCAGACGTAGGCGCTACAGTACTCTTAGAGGAGTACAGCCATAATATGGCCCTAGAACTAGCTACTGAGGTGACAATCTTATAAATGTACAATTGTTCGAAGATGAAGTCATTGAGAAGAATATTTTTTATTGTAGCAATTTTGTGTTTTATATTGTAGTAGTACGCAACGCAAACCGCTACGCAATCCGACACGCCCACTTCTGCCGCAATCCGCGCTATGTATAGAGTTCTAATAACTAATAAGATTTCTAAGAGCATAAACCAAATGATGATGATGATGATGATTTGATGAAATAGTCCAAATTTGTGATCATATTCCGTTCAATATTGTTCTCCTGCAGCCGCTCATTGCAATCGTGTTCCCTTGTCTCTGTCTTCGTTTCTGTTTTTCGTGTCCTTGTGTGTAAATAAAGTTTTTCGTTTTTTTTCTCATTTTCGTGCACCTGCATGTATGGTCACGCGTAGAACACACGGTGAGGAAGTCCCCAAGGAGCGGCATCGCTACCGAAACAGCTAGTATTCCTAACTACATACACACGTAGTCACATATTCCAGCAGATACGATACGACTGACCTGCCCACCATGTGAACGTGTGAGTGCTGTAAGGGAAGGCATAAAAGCTGTCAAACTTGGAGGGTAGCAGCGATCCTAGTTGCGTAACGGATAGCCCACTCGCCGGAAAACGTGAGAAGAAGGTTCGACTCTCGCCTGACGTCAAGGTTTTCGCCCATACCTTGGCATCCTTGTGCCTATAACTTACCTGCATAGTTGAAGTGACACCCTGGTAATTGTTTCAAAGCAGTCGTTGTGCATAGTTAACCCATTGCGTACCGCGTGCTGCACCATGTGCAGCACACTCGTTTGCCTCTGTATGGCCGCGTGCTGCACATGGTGAAGCACGCTTCGTTTGAACTTATTTGGCAGAGTTCGATGTTTCAAGAGTGTCGATATATTCTTGGAGTCTTCTGGGATAATAAGTTCATGTGGGAAATTATGGGAAACATTGAACAGAGCTAAGTTACTGACATTTTTCGAGAAATACTTCACTACTACAGTACTATATACTTTGTTTATTTCTCAGTTACCAATAAAACCGAAACCCTGGTTATGAAACGATTGGAAATTCGTGGAGTGGTATGACTAAACAGTTTCTAATATTGCGTCACTCTTTCAACTCTTCTTAATTTTATCGAGCTTTTTGGCCATTTCCACATTTTTTTCGGCCCATCACTTTATACGTGACAATATGAAATCTAGTTCAGCATATGTCTACATACAAGAGGAATGCATAATACGACGTGTGTAGCATGTATTTTTTAGTCCATGATGCAGTAAAACGAGGGCTGGCGGAGGTGGTAAATAGGTGACAGGCGCGCTTACCCTCGCGCGATGCGCTGTGGTTCAAATTCCCGTCGACTCCACCCAGGCGAACCAAGCCTTCTACCCTCCGGGACGGTAAATTGGTACCAGATTCGTCTGGGAGGATAAAACACTGACTTGTACATCGGCTGGCCACCGCAAGTCATTGTATAGGCCACATCGCATTCAATAAGCCACTACGATTCTGAATGGAAGTAGAATGCGTGCCGCATCCACAAAGGGATTGATTAGGCGGAAGACTTTATTCTTTCATTTATCCTAATGCATAAAAATCTCATATGTTTATACTCCGCGCGCCACAAGTCGCGTCTATAAAAAGGCGTTGACCACAGACGACCGTTAGCGCGAAAACGCCGTGGTACGCAATGGGTTAATTTCTCGGCTTTGCCTCAGAAATTATGTAATTGATTGATTTCCTTTTTCTATTTCATGCTAAGAAGATCACGGAATGAAAGAATACAAAAAAACTGCTAAAATCAGACCGTGGAATGATGAACTGATGAGACTGACCCAGTGGTAATCCTCAAAACTTCTAAACTTCGAAATCAGTTGCTGGAAAGTTTCACACAGTGCTACCTACGGATCGCGGACTCGGGTCATGAAATGCACGTGCGTTGCGAGTTTTTATTCTTTTTTTCTAGCTCAGCATACGGTAATAAGTTAATTGTATAATCGACGTTGTCGGCCATTATAAGTGCGCTCCCACCTGAAGGACGTGTTGGTGAAGCCTTTCTCGCAGAACTGTGAGCCAAGGAGTCGAAAAAGAAGGCGACCCACGTCTTGACTGACCACTTTTCCTAGCCAAGAAATCCCTTGAAGCGCGGCTAAGGAGGCAATCAGAGGGGCTATGTCAGTGGAACAGCGGGATGTGGCCCAGCCTTGCTCTCCAACTTTCGATGGGGATCCCCTGCTTCGCCTTGTCATGGAGGAAACGCAACAAAGCTGTGTGTGCGCATACGGCATAAATATGGCGGTGATTCGGTGCCATCTTTATACTCGCTCATTCCCTGAGAGGAAGTGGGCGGGCTTTTGAGCATGGTTTTAGGATTGGCTTCTCGCGGGCTACCTCAGTTTGGAACAACGCGCAACTGCTAACTTGTTCTGTGTCAGATGTAAACATGACTACGACTGCTCCAAAATGGCAATCTCTCACGAAAACCTGGGCCGCCGCCATTTTAAAATCAAGTACGTAGCCACGCCTACCCGATCTCAGGGATTTTGAGTATACCAAAGCGTCAATGTTTATTCGCATCGAGGCGGAGGAAGTAACACATTTCTACGGCAGTGGACCCGCTCACCCGACATGCACAGGAGCAGATCGTCCTCACAGTTTGATCGTAATAATTGTGCCCTAAGCACCATACCGGGCACATAAAATCTACCAACTCCTTTTACGACAGCAGGTTGAGGTGTACTTAACTCGGGAAAACTATGTTCTTACATGCACTTCTAAAGGATCTGGCAGAACTATTAGGAACCGCGCAACATACATATGGCTTAATGCAAGTTTCTTTCGGCTCTCTGTATTGAAATTGCGTCTAAAATCGTATGCTAAAACCTACGAAAAAAAGGCAAAATTTCAACTAGTCGCCGATTAGGCAAAATTTCAACAAGTCACTGATTCTCAGACATGAGACTTCTTTCATAAAGCACCGATAACAAATGGGTTGTGTACGGTAATCACAAACTTGCTAATCGAGAGAGCCACTAGCGGCAGTACCGCGAAAGCGACTTCGCAAGTGGCATCGCGCCGCGACATTCGATCCAGAACCTAACTGGCTCGACGCGACTCTGCTGTAGCATGTGGAGCTAGCTGGCCAGGAAATATTTGCTAGTTATTGCGCGCCACCGCAATA